TGTATCGCCCTATAATATATCATCGTATCATATCGCCCTATATCATTATCATATTGTATCATTCTATAATATATCATTATTGTATTGTATTGTCCTATAATATATTATTATCGTATTGTCCTATAATATATCATTATTGTATTGTATCGCCCTATAATATATCATCGTATCATATCACCCTATATCATTATCATATTGTATCACCCTATAATACATCATTATCGTATTGCATCAGACCATATTGAATCATATCAAATATCTAATTGTAACATAGATTATTATGTTTTATTGTACTTTACTATACCTAGTGTAGGCAAGTCTGGCCCACAACTGGTGCGCAAGATCAGCGTCAACCTAAACTGAGATTTGCATTCTGATTAAAACACATTTTTTGCTTTATTTTATGAATACTTGTGAAATATTTTAAAGTGACAACATGGTTTTACCAGAACTCAATGGGCTGTGACTGTTGGTGACAAGTTGCAGAAAGCGATCGTAAGTTCAAGTTCAAGTTCAAGTATCTACAATCCAAACATTTCAGCACAAAAAAAGAAACTGTCCAGATGACCTGACTGAAAAATGTTGGATTGTGTAGGTAATGTTCCTCAATACTTATAATCGTTTTATGTAACTTGCATGTAACTTAATTTAGTTAATTACTGATTTTGCCATTTGAAAGTAGATATAGTAAAACCTGAAGACAACTAAAGCCAGCTGGGTGACTCCCAGTATGTACGTGTCAGACCAGGCTGGATGATTTTGGCACCCTGTCACATTTCTCCAATTTCTAATGTGACAGCCAAATGTGTGCCGCCAAAATCCTCTTTACAGCTTGTTTAATCCTGGCCCAGTTCTGATACTGGATACTGTGGCCTGGCACTGGTTGGCTGCCTACATCACCGGCAAGAAGGAAAGGTGGTGTATTTTGAAAGCTTACCAGAAGAAATACATCTACTTTCTCTTTTTATCAATAAAAAGGACTTAAATGAGAACACTGTAGCATAAATAGATGCTTTTATAATTTAGACTTTAGTTATATTAGTGTGTCACATATCAGGTGAGGTGAAGACTGACAGCAGCTGAGTCTGTGTGCAGTGTGTGTGGGTCTTTAGTTTCATCCTTTGAGTCCAGATTATGATAGGTGAGTAAAAGCCAGAGGTTTCTTTGTCCTAAAAGTCCAAACCTGAGGCGATGATTAGCGACTCTACAATAGCAAGCAGAGGTTTGACTTTCCGTCGCATGAGTCATGCTGAGTCAGAAGTGTTCCTTATCCTTTGTGATGTTTCAAAAGACACACAATCCCTGAAAGACTTCAAGAAGCATAAAACGTAAGCAGGCACATTCAGAAGCTCACAGATGAGTACGCTTAGTTAGACCAGTGCTGTCCAAACCTTTGGACATTGTGGGCCATGACTTTAATCTTGGACTTTAAAATATACATGAATAATTCTTTCTGGGGAGTCCTTCCAAACTCTCAAAAACAACATAAACAGGATTTTCGTCTAAAAAAAAGCCTTGCTGACAAAATTTACGTTTTTAAAAAGAAAAGCCTTCAGTTCTTTTTTCTTGAGCTTGGAAAGTCCATTTTAGTCAATTCTCTGAAACAAAAGCACAATATGAGTTACAGTAGTTCCTCACTTATCGCAGGGGTTACGTCCCAGACACCCCTGTGCTAAGTGAAAATCTGTGAAGTAGGGACGCTATATTTATTTTAGTATTTATATATTTTAAGGCTTTATAAACTGTTCCCACACTCTTGCAATGTTCTTAACAATGTTCTAAAACCTTTAAACACTCTAAAAAGCACAGCGAAAGAGAACAGACAGACTGATGCTACGTTTAATGAGCCTATCCCGGGGGCTGACTGGCCATCCGGAGCACCGGGACATTTCCCGATGGCCTGGCCCGCTCAGTGATCACCGAGGGGGACTAAAGGCTTGGTCCGGGTCGCGCTTGATTATTTTAAATAAACAATCCATGCCGCTCGTGCGGCTCACTCATGTCTAGGACAGACCAACCCCTGCCACCTCCTTTCTTTTTTCGAGGCTGTCTGCTTTGTTGTGGCAGACAGCCTCAAAAAGAGAAAGGAGGGGGTGGGGAAGTCTGTCTTATGCCAGAGTGAGCCGCACTCAGCCACTCTCTCTCTTTTTTTAAACTGATTCATTCTTATTTTTCCACCTAAGCATTTTCTCCTATATTATACATTTATTCATCTGATCTGTTCATCCCTGCTCCCTGAACAGTAGCAAAGGAGAAAGACAGACCACCCCTGCCCCCTCCTTTCTTTTTCTGAGGCTGTCTGCTCTGCTGTGACAGACAGCCTCAGAAAGAGAAAGGAGGGGTGGGGGTGAGGTCTGTCTTTTCCCATCGCCAATCACGTGTCGTGTACAATCTTAAGTTGAAAACCAGAAAAAGAGTGAGTCAGCGAAAGTTAAATCGCAAAGTATACAGGGACTACTGTACTGCTTTAAACACAATTATTTGAAAAGGGTTGAGTGGCTTGGCTGTAGATTCTTGGACTTTTGCTAGTTCAAAAATTTATTTTATTCAGTTTTTCCCTTTGTTAAAATAACATCTTCACCAACAAAGTTAAATTTGTAAAAAGGTCCAGCTACATCAACTTCTCAAGCACGTGGGCCAAATTTATACACATCTTAAATTGCAGTAGTAGGTTGCATAAAACCCCTCAAAGAGCCACAAATGGCCCATGCACCACACTTGGGACATCTCTGAGCTTGACTGACCTGCGTATGAATACAAAAACATTTGAACTCTGTCCTTGTAGATTCTTAAATTGGTGCTAAGCTAACTACTCCAATCCAATGATAAAGCCTCACCTTGTTCACAGTTTTTGCCCCCAAAACCGGTGGGACAGTCACAGCTGTAGGTGTTCCACTTGCTGACGCACACTCCTCCGTTCAGACACACGTCATCTGTGCAGCTGTTCTTCTTCGCTAGACAACCTGGACATTAAAACGTAAAATAAACTCGCCAAACCTTTCCTCTAAACTCTGTAAAATCAGCATTACTTTACAGAGTGAGTGTCCAACCTGGAGCGGTGCCGTTGTTAGCGATGTAGCTCGCCATGTCAACGGCTTTGCTGTCGATGGTTAGGTTTTTCATGCAGCCCACGAAATTCCTGTTCCTGACTGGGAAGTCCTCGGGAAGATTGGGAACTCCACCAAGCAGCAATGGTCCGGTCAGATCCAGTGATCTGCAGAAAATACAAAATAAAATTATTGTGTCCCATATATAATTTTTTTGATTAAAGTTTGAGACAAAAACTTGTCAACATGTGGATAAACGATAAATAAATTCATAATCATGCACTTCATGTGTATGCCTCAATTCAGGAGACATTTCTAAAAATAAGGTCAAAACTTCACCAAAGCTACAGAGAAACTCTAAGTCAGATTTAGAAAGCTGCTTAAGCATAAAGCTTATAAAACACATCAAGCAGCTTTAAGAGGTCAAATATGATGCAATTCTGCAAAGAAATCCCACCAAGCTCTGAACTTATAGATATGACATAAACACTGTTGGTTCCCTGGAAGCATAAAGAACATCAAAGAGCTTAAAAATATTTAAGAAGAAAAAAATAATAAATCTCATGGTCTCAATAATTTTAAACCACAAACTGTTACGTGTATTCAAGTGTATACAGGCAATAAATGTGAAAAACATACCAAGAATGTTACTTTTTCTCATTCTTTTACCAAACATCAGCGAAAGAATCTGTTTAAAATATAAGACGAGACAACTCAAACCTGGTGATCTAGCCTTAAAAAAATAAACCTCCTGTATTTAAATCAACGTGAATCAAATCAAAAAGACTCAAACAGGAAAGCCAATCAGGCGTTTTGGTTTAATTGTCTGAAAGCTTCAACGTGACACAGTTAAATTCTCCATTAAACGTCTATGAGCGTGTGCGACCTGCGCAACGAGTTCCTGAAGGAATGCACCGTCCCTGCAGACGCGTTTGAAGCCTCCCTCTGTCCCCACCCTCCACATGTGTCTCAGCATGTTGGCTCTCTGAGTGGCTCATTAAAGAAAGTCTCACGGTAGAAAAATCAGAATCTGATCTGTGTCTAGTTAACGCACAGTAAGTCGTCTAAAGCCTGCGCCGAGACGAGCTTTAGGTCGTCTGAGGGCGTCTGACGGCAGAAGTGCGGATGTTAGAATAGGAGCTATTTAAGCTGATGTAATGAGATTTAATGTAACCCCTAAGGTACAACATATTCACTGTTTGGTTGAGTAAATGCTGATTCAGCATTTATACTATTGTTGCAGTTTCACTACTTCTAAATATTTCTGTGCTATCCTGGTCGTTCAAACATCAACATGTTCATCTCGTTACATGGCTGCTGCGGCGTTGTGGTTTTTGTAACTTTCAAACTTCTCAATTTATTTTACTTTATTTACAAATATTTTCCACATAGAAATCTGTTAAAATCTCTTGGGTGGCTTTAAAAACAGCGTTGTCTTTGAAATCTTCAACAAACTTGTTTAGTTTTGGTCTTCTTCTGCTGCTGCTTTTATTTTTTAGCTGGTCTTTTTACTACTTTTATCTTTAACCAGCATTTTGATACATTTAACTTTTAGCTAGCATGTGCTACAATAAGCTTAACTTTTTAAATTTTCAGAACGCCTTTTCATCCTTTTAGCTAGCTTTTTGCCACTTCAAGTTTTAATGCAGTGTTATGCTACTTTAGCTTAAAACTAGTAGTTTAGCTTTAACCTTTACCTAGCCATTAGCCACTTTTAGCTTTTAGCTCACCTTTTCATATTTCAGCTTGACTTTCTTTGTTTGTTACTTTCAACCAGTTACGGAGGACATGGATGTAAAGGAGTGAAGACGGAGGACACAGAGGACAAAGATGGAGGAGGATGACTCGCTGTGGCGACCCCTGAAGAGGGGAAAGCTGAAAGAAGAACAACCAGCCTTGAGATACTTTTAGATTTTGCTAACCTTTTGCTATCCTTAGCTTTAAGGTAGAGTTTTGCTAAACTTTTAGCTTTAGTTTTATTAGCCTTTTGCTTCTTTACCTTCTATTTGTTCTTTTAATACTTTTACCTTGTCTTTTGTCACCTTTAGCTTTTAGATAATCAATTTTACTTCAGCTTACAGCCAAACCTTTTGTGTTTTAGTTAACTACTTTTGGCTTTTAGCTAGTATATATATATGTATATATATTTAGTTTGTATGTAGTGTTCTTCTTGTAGGTTTAACAACTCAATTTCAGCTTCTACAACAAATTGCAGCACCGACATTCAAACAAGTCCTCAAGATAAACTGAGGTGAGATGAACTGAAGGCAAAAAGAGAAAGCAGGTAAAAGAGTTTTTACTTCTTCTGTCCGATCTGGGTACCCTGCGCAGCACACGAGTAGTTGCCGATCTTCTCTCTGAAGTTAATCGCCATTGCGATGTCGCAGTCGTCCACGGCAACCACCGCCACCTTTTCTGCAGAAGGTCCATGAGGGACGCCAAGACGCCCAAAGTTAGGCTGGAAAACACAAAATGAGACAGCATGCTTTTAATTATTGCTTTTTTTGTAAAGTAGGACTTTGTTATTTTATTAACCTTTACATGCTTGCCAATTTTAAATTATAAACTTACAAAGTAATTTTTTTTTACACAGTATTCTATAATTTCTTCTGAGAAGTAATAGCCAGTTAACCAGTTGTGGGCACAGTTCCGCTAATCTGCTAAAAGCGGAACTACTTTCCGTTTAGCGGATTAGCGATTTCGACAACTTTGAATACCTATAGCGGAATTAGCTTCTGCTTAATTAAAGCCGATAAATTCAAGTCTGCTATTTTTTAAAGACAGCTCTCCACAATGAAAGCGTAGAGGAGCGTACAGGAGAATGGTGATTTACACAGAGTGATATTATGCTATGCATAGCTAAGCACAGCTAGATATCACCACCCTTGCAGCGTCTTTCCCTCATATCTACAGCAAACAGTCTCTGACTTATGGTTTACAGCCAGTAACAGACTTTAACATAAATGCCAAACCAAACAAGAACAGGAAAATAACATAAAAAACACATTTTTACACTCAAACATTGTAAATAGTCAGTAACATTGCACCCATAATTCCTACCCAGCATGTTTAGCAACACTCACAGTGTCTCTGGGATGCGACTCTCTCACACATTTCACACATCTCTACTTTAATACAAACAGATTTATTATCGAGAGAACATTGATGATGACACACAGCAACTTTGTAGTTGGTTTATAAATGTAGTTAACCACAAAGAGGATTGCCAAAGTGAGATAATTTATTAAAGTAAATGACACGAGGGAGACGTCCAACACACATTGAATGCATCACTCTGTTTCAGCACAGCAGAGTTCTGCTTCTCCTCTTTGGTTCCGTTGGACCAAATTAATTTCTGAAACGGAACATGGACACTTTAACTTGTGATTTATGAACCGTTTTGAGTTGTGTTCACTGACAACGATGTCACATCACAGACAGTCTTACAGCGTCAGTGACAGTAGTGTATGATAAAAGTTAGCGCTTTAGCATTAGCTCCTGCTAATTTTTTTAAATTCTGTTTAGCATTAGCAAAGCTAACTTTTTGGTTAGCTGTGCCCACCACTGAATAAAAGCTATTATTCCAAAAGGAAGACATTTTATTGTATTTTATTTATTTATTTATAAAAGGTATGAATCATTCATATTGTTTTAACATAACCAAACTTCAAAACTTATGAACAAAGTAGGCTAATCCCTGTATCAAGTCTGTAAAATCTGAGAAAATGCAGCCAGTCAGCAAGAAAGCAATTACTAAAATGAAATTACATTTTTGTAAAGTTAAAATAACTATACATAAAACCCATTAGGTTACAGATTACCAGTACACACAGTTTAAAATTAAGTATTAATAAACCATCCTCCCTCAAAGAACATAAAACCAGTTTGATGCCCCAGAGGGCTTTAAACGAGCGAAGGTTGATGGTGAGGGTGTAAAAATCAAAGCTCTACTTTCAAGCGGGCGAACCCTTAAAGCTCACAACCACATCAGTCCTACCCCGGACTTGCATCTGATTCTTTCTTGTCGCCCATAAAGCTCGTTTTGAAATCCCAAACAGAAAATGTATTAAGGTCAGAATCTTTACTTGAGTACGGTGTATTCAGGACCAAAAATTAAAAGAGGTAAAGAAAACTCTTTTAAAAGAGAAACCACCCACTCCTCTAAACGTCCAAATAGACCCTCTGACCTTTGGCATGACAGGACAAGATGTTCTAAAATCTCCATCTGGTTACAAAAAGGGCACCCTCCCCCAGAGACGGGGATCTCCGAGGACGCCATCCCTGCTACCACACTGTCCGCCGAGCAGACGTCAATCTCACAAACAAGTTCAATGACTCCAACAATGTTCCATCAGGTCATCTGGATGGTTTCTTTCTTGTTTTGTTTTTTTGCTGAGACGTTTCATCCTTCATCCAAAGGACTTTCTCAATCCGGGAAGCCACCAAAGGAAACTGATTCCCACAAACAGCACACTCCAAGTTTAATGACTTGTGTTTCTTTCTCTTACGAGTAATAATTCTTATAATATAAAAGGATAACAATCAAGGAAAAAATAAATGTCAGATTTGATCAGGTTCTCTGTGTTTCCTTTGTAAACCCGTGCTGTTTAACTTTGGACTTGAAAAGATTCTAAAACCACTTATCCAGCGTGTCAACATAGCTCTTATGTTATGATTTATTTTTGTTTTGAACTCATTTTAAGATTAGGAGTAGCTCAACTTCAATGTGCGGCATCTGCAGATGAATTTGGGGTAAAAGAGGCACAACGGAAAAGGTGAGGAGGGAAAGGAAGCATGAACAAGAAAACAAGTGCGTGTGCGAGTGTGTGTACAGGTGTTTATTTACAAATCTGATAATCATAGATAATCAGCGTTTATCAATACCGTATTTTTCAGACTATAAGGCGCACTTAAAATCCTTTAATTTTCTCAAAAATCAACAGTGAGCCTTACAATTCTGGTTGTGCTTATACTGACCTTGAACCGATTTAATGTGGTACACGACACTCAAAAAGCTGTCAAAGTGTTTTAGTTTTGCTTAATGCGCCTTATAATCCAGCGCGCCTTATAGGCCGAAAAATATGGTAACCTGTCCTCCAAAAATCGGATTAGAGTAATTTGATACCAGTGGGCTGAGACTCCACAAACAAAAAGAGAAAAAAATGTTGAAAAAAAAAAGAACGACTGACAAAACAAGGGACTGACCAGGAAAAAAAAACAAAGACACAACAAATATGGCAAATATAAATAAATAAATCAATCAAATAATTACATGAGGAGTTTGCTGTGTTCCATTTTGGTTCATTCAGGCATAATTTCAAACCCCACTGGGCGTTATATATTATAACTGGCTATAATAATATAACTATAGTTATAGTTTTCTCCCACACCTATCACTTAACCTTATGTCCTTGTAGTTTGCAAAAAAACGAAGCGTCCATGTTTTCCACAAGACAAACAGGAAGTGCGACACCTCTGATGCCGCAGCTGTTTTCCTTCTCTTACACATTTAATTTAATCTAGACCGTCATTAGCTCGTCTGTCAAAGCCACCAAAGCAAAACCAGGCAAACGCAGACACAAGGAAGAGACAATAGACGCTACGCCGTGTGTGGTTAAAAAGAAGAAAGAAAAGCATCATGGGAAGACTTTATAGGACCTCTTATTAATTGGAATGAGCAGCTGGGATCTGAGATTACACAGGGCTTCCAGGTGTAGGAAATTTAGGTGAAAAAATTGAAGAAAGGCAAAAAAGATGTTCATCTTTGGACTTTTTATAAAACCTGACAGTATTTTTGTGTGAAAAGCATTCGTCACACATTTCCAGGTGCGGTTTCAGTCATTACTTCTTAAATCACACACGTCGTTTGGACGTTAACGCTTATTTAGACCATTTACCAAAATGCATTACGAAAATGCAGAATATAGTGTTTTTAAAATAAAAATATAAGAACTGTATTTATAACGCCTTTTAAAACAACCACAGTCGCAAACAAAGTGTGATACATGTAAAATCAAGAATCAATTCAAAGTTCATGCTCAATAATCCAGGTAAAAAAAATCCAAAGTTCAGTCGGTCATCTGGATGATTTCTTTTATTTTTTTAGACGTTTTGTCCTTCATCCATAGGACTTCATCAGTCCGAGAAGACACAATAAACTCTGTCCCCGCAAGCAGCACACTCACATAGTGGACCAACCAGTTTGTCAAATTAAGAACATTTTAAACCCATTAAAGAATAAAAACAGCTGAAACAGTCAAACACCCTGTGATGGACTAGAGACATGTCCAGGGTGTCCCCCGCCTCTCGCATAGTGACTGCTGGATATGTGCGCCAATGATCCCTGTGACTTAAAAAGGAAGAAGTAGGTAAAGATAACGGATGGATGATAGCAGTAAAACCACTAAAACAATAAAAACTGGAGTGCAGAGCAAATTGCAGGCTGTGCCAAAATCCAGTGAATAAAAAATGTTTTTAAAAGAGTTTTTAAAATGGACGGTGAAGGAGCTCGTCTGACGGGAAGAGGGAGATCGTTCCACGTTCTCGGAGCGGCAACAGAAAAAGATCTGTTCCCTCTGAGCCTCCGCTCGGACCTCGGCACCCCCAGGACTTTATGATTGTTTGGAGCAAAAATCAGAACTAGATATTAGATTACTGCAGAGCCGCAATGTCAAGCGCCGGTACGAGCCCTGATCACATCTGACGAGAGCAGAATGTTGTCAGCTGCTCCGATCCAAGAAAAATGACACGGACTGACACATGAGATGGATTCAAGAAATCCCTGATTGAATATGACAGCAGAGATGTGCTCGACAGGTTTGTAAACTTAAACTTGATGTCACAGAAAATGTTATTGATGAAGATCCCAAGAAAGCCATCACGATGTCCAAAGAAAATTCAGCCAAAGTGAAGTTAAAAACTTGGACAGGGTCAAAGTGTTGCACTTTGATTAGATGATATAAGTGTTTTACTGTGGCGTGTACCCAATTAGAACTGCTCATGAGAAGGATCGCATTCCTATTAAATCAGATTATACAGCAAAGGGTCCAGAAAACAGAAAACTTCCATCCGGGGCTTTGTAAATCCTAATCGTGCGCGGATTTGACAGAATTACCGCAACTCGGACGGGGAAAGATTTACTGTGATAGAAACAGAAACAGGCAAAATACCTCAAACACTGAACGTTCATTTTGAGGAAGCGTGGCAATGAAATGGTGGAGTCCAAACCACTTTCCAGGACTACGATACGTAGTTTACTGAACCTGTAAAAACTCTGTGATCTCATCTCTTTCAAGTTCAATCGAGCAAAAAAAAAAAAAAAAAAAAAAACGACAGTGAGGGACAAACGTTTGAACATAAGGGAGAGAAATCTTGTACACAACAAACCCATAAATGGAAATTTCAGATGTAATACATTCCAAACTATGGAATAAACTGCAGTTTATAGCATCCCTGCAA